AGTCCAAGGCCGATTACGGACTCTTTTCTTGGGGGGGGGGACCGGGGGAGGTGGCAGTTCGGAAAGTGCTCCTCAACCCAGGACATGCCCTGATTGTTCCATACGGCTTTCTTCTTTTTTTTCTTTGTTCCGCCACCTGCCTACCAGATTTTACCGACAAGTTAAGGATTAGGGTTTGCACTTGCGCTAGTTCCTCGTGCTGGTTCATGTTAACGAACTTCGGTGAGACTCGTAAACTCTTGTGAAACTACGGAACAAGTGGGTCATTTGGTCGCAGGAATTTACAGGTTATCACGATGTGACCTGCTGAAGCTTCGCTGAGAACCATTCCCTGCCCCCACCAAGACGAACTGCGCCACTATTTGTTTATACTCTGCCTGTTATTTATATACTTTATCTAATTAGGTGCTGCTAGTTTACGATTGTTATTGTTGGCTTGGTGCTATGCTACGTTTTTCAAACTATATTTATTCAACGCCATCGCTTAGCCCCGCCCACATTCTCACGCTCATGTACTGCTGCATCTCATTATTATTAGCTCGTCACCGCACCAATAGCAATCATGTATCACATTTCTCATTCGATTATACTTGCCTACCTGGCCTAGCCATAGGACAAGGAATTTATCGATTTGCCTCATGCTTAGTGGTTTTTACCCGTGCAATGGAAGTACGCCGAGTAGTTCTTAGGTATTCGCTGAGTTGTTATGGACTTACTCGGCGCAGTTCGGCGACGGGGGGGGGAGGAGCATTCCGCACTTTTGCTACTTCCCATCGATGTGTCCCCCCCCATCTAGAGAGCCTTGAGTTGACAGGTTTTACCATGATGGCTTGACGCTTGCTCCAGCTTCACAAGAGTTCACAGGTTTCACCAGAGTGAGACTTGTAAACCGGAACTAGGGAAGCAATGAAAGTACAAAATGCCCCCCCTCCCCCCCCGTTGCTGGAACTGTGCGCGACCTATTCTTTCCATGAAAGTAGAATGCGTGCCGCATCCTCAAAAAGGATCGATCAACGGGTGAAACTATTTCCTTCATCGTTTCATCTTGCTGTTGATGAGCATAGAAAATCGTGACAGATTTGCTGATATTTACTGATTGCCTTTTTTCCGATTTTTCTCACCAGTAGCCTTTCATGGGCGGGTTTCAGAAATCTGTTATAAATAATTTCTGTGCTTTTGGTGCCGAAACGAATCATTACTTGTCGGCTACATAAAGTCGTACAGCCAAATGGCCGATGCGCTGATTCAGCGATCGTTTGCATTCCTCGATGACTGATTAGTTTCTTTTGCTCATTACTGGACAATCAGTAATGTGGAATCTTTACTTGTAGCTTCTCACAACTGACTTCATAGTCCTTTATTATGCACGATTTGCGCTATAGTACCTCACTGTTTAAATCTCGTCTAGATTATTAATAATGTTTCGGCGCCAATAACCTTTAGGGCAGGTCATTTGAGGGGCTCCTTTTGCAGTATAAGATCAGTCCAACCGGGGTGGGATTGGTGGACTTGACAGTGGTACACTACCGAGGAGCACACATCACATCACATTTTACATTTTACTCTACATTTTGGGCCCAAGTGAGAGTCTTCATCTCTCTCTTACGGTAATATCAGTGCTGCACAAAAATCCATCAAATGTCCGCCGAAAGTTTTGCTGCTTGATTGATTTGGATAGAAGTTTACCCCTGGACATGCTGTTTCTTTCTGAGCACATCTGGCTGGCGTGAACCCCCCCCCTCCCATTCGGCGGTCCGGGCAGTTCGGCGACGGGGGGGGCATTTTGCACTTTTGCTACTTACCATCGAACTGTCGACCCATCTAGACAGCTTTTTCTCGAGTTGACACATGATGGCTTGACGAGCTTGCTCCAGCTTCACAAGAGTTCACAGGTTTCACCAAGTGAGACTTGTAAACCGGAACTAGTGAAGCAGCGAAAGTGCAAAATGCCTCCCCCCCTCCTCCGTCGCCGAACTGCATCATTCGTCTGTAATGGAACGATAGATGTCTTCTTGCCAGTGAAATGTAATCTTCTTCTGAAAAACGATGAAATATCATGATAAATGATAAATTGTGGGCACAGTCGAAACTTTGATGATAAATTGTGGGCGCAGTCGAAACTTTGACTCAAATTCCCGAAAAAGGGGAGTAACGGGTTGTTCGGGCCCTTCTCTACAATGGGGAAAACCGTGGTCGGCTATGTAGGTTATTATCAGTAGGCACAGTGAACGAACCGTTCTTGACCTGAGAAGAATTTTTTTGATAGTTGACTTCTCTTTCACGCGAATTGTTTACATCGTTGAAAGTAGTCCACTAGGATTAAGTTTTGTTTGTCCTTTCGAGGGGGGAGGGAGTATCTGCCTTTTGCGAGAAAATTTCCTTGTCGCGACGAAAATTTTCCCCGTTCGTTCTCCTGCTCCTCGCTGTACTGCAATATTTTACCAAAACCGGAAAATGTTTGGTTATCCCGAAAAAAGCGGTAGGAAACAGGGAAAGGAGGACGGTAGGTAGGATGCGGATGGGGAGGAGTGGGGGGTATTTTCAAAAGCTTTCCTCAGCTTCGGGGTGGGTGCTGCTCATTACGAGTCCATAAACCGTGTTGCACGAAATTTGCATTTATCGTATTGCATTGTGTAAATTTTGGTAATGTGCGCACAATCAAATCTACGACTCTGTTCAGAAGTTGTGAGCATGGCGTATTCCAAAAACGTCTGCCAACCGTTTTTGATTTTCATATGAATACATCTTGTTAAGTCAGCTTTCAGAACTAAGCTTCCTATCTTCACTAACCTCCTAGCAACCTCTATTTACATACCTAAGTAGGAAATCCGGTATTGCAATTACTATGCAAATATAGGGTGATTGCTACGCGGAGTATCCGATATCGTCAGGTTTTTGCCGTCAGTCGAGCTGTCAGATACCTCCATTTACTGATTTATTGATTATTTATTCAGAAAATTGGTCCTGATAACACCAGTCATTTTTTATAATAATGAACGGCTAGTAGGTCCAGTTTTCAAGCGGAAATGTTCTCGTTCATTACACACAGACGAAAAACTGCTAGCAATGCACAGGTCCTGCGATTCACATACTGGTCGGCTCGCTGTCGAGGGCCGTCGCGGTCGTATTTGGTCGGTGGAGAGAGGGGAGGGGGTCATTTTTGGCCGTACAACATGTTTCCAGTTTCTGACTTTTCCAGGTCTCCTGTTTTAAGAGCGCTACGTAACCTCACCGCCTTCCCCTTCCCATTTTCCGGAAAAATACAAAAGAATTTATCAGAGTTTCTCCAGAACAGTTTAGGAAAATTAGAGAGAATAAATTTAGGAACATGGTGAGAAAGGAAAGATGGGGAAGGAGCGTCATGTCAGATTAGGACGTTTTTCGGGGGTCGATTTCGTTGAATTTTTTTGGATTCATGCTTTTTTTTGCTAGAATTTTTCTCCAACAGCGGGACTGCCTTGCCTCCTGGAAAAAGCCGTCGCTTGACTCTAACAATAAGATGTGTGATAGATGGGGTAGAAACGGTATTCACTGGCAGCATCCTTCAGTACGGCCCCTCTCGGAATTCCCTCGTCTAGTACGTCCATTACTTTTCTCAGACCAAGTTTCCTCTCTGGTGCGACTTCACCTCCCTATCCGAAATACCGCTTCCTGGGTTTTCTCAACATCCTACCACTTTTTCCAGTCCTTCAAGAATGCCTCCACTTCTCCTCAGTGAAAACTGCCGGGTCACGTCGCCACCAAACCTTACAAAAAATGAATTGCAGATGAGAAAAAATTAATTACAGCCACAAAAAACAGCGGCTATATGGTGGTTTTGTTTACTGCATTGCCAATTGGTGGGAGGGGGAGGTGGATGTAGCGAACATGATGCGGGAAAAACCGAGAAAAGTCAACACTCTCAAAAAATGTCCCGCGATTCCTTAAATTCTTTTTCGAAAGCAACTACGACCACCACTCCCTAACCAGCGACCATCGACCATACGGACTCCTCCTGATGGGGTTCTCAAAACGATTCCATACCCCGTTCACAGGTCGGTTACCTTTCCTTGTGAGAAATATCATTTCATGGTGCATCATCCTGTGGTGCATCATGCAATACACACAGTGCGTCATGCCATACAACTGTTGCATCCTCCCACATAACTGTATTGATTTCTTTCCTCTATTTGGTCAATAAAATCAATAAATAGGACGGAGGTAATTGGAAGGGGTGGGTTAAGGGATAGTTTATGTGGGGCAAACTGCAGTCACAGTCTCTGAAGTTTATGGATTGCTCAGATCACACAAATCTAACTCCCCCCTACTCCATCACTGGGTTCTAGCTGTAGAAAGTTCGTAAGATGGGAAACACTTGTAGGCAGATCGACTGTTGAACGGGCCAGACACCTTCTCACAAATAGGATCCGAGATGAAAAACAAGTGCATGGCGCATCTTGAGATACTCTTTTTGTCGTTCTTTGATATTGTTTGGTTCTCCCAGCACATCTGAGATGTCAGTTTTTGCTGTTTCCAAGTTGCTTTATGGTATTCCCACGGACCTAAAGTCGCTATTGTACGTGCGTTTCTGCCTCCTCATGGCACGCGTACGTACGTTTTAGCGCGGCGCCAGCTCTTTTACCCAGTCGTTGCCATAATGGGACGGCTGCCACTCATGGAAATAGATTGTAGCCGTGCCAAAACGTACTTACATAGAGCACCGATAAGCCCTGTGACACCTCTATAAGCCGCTTAAATGATCGTGATAAACGCGAAAAAATGCCTACATGAACCTAGGTAATTTGACGCGGTTTCCTTGATTCCATTGTAACTTACAGATTCTTCTGCTGTGACTTACAGATATTTTTTGCTGTTGTTGTTTATCTTTCGCTGCTTTTGTCTGCCGTCCAATCTCAACAGCTTCTTTACCGTGTCTATAACCGAATACTGTATCGAATTCGTTCCAGAGCGGCGTGGATCGTTCCGGTACTGGCAGTCGCCTGCCATACACCGCCGCCAAAATGCGGCCACCTCCTACAGGACATATGGTGATCAACATGAAGACGACCATCACCACTCATGGAGCCCACAACGGTGTTATCGTACATGCTGGTGTGCAGTCAGGAGCGGGAACATCATCCCAAGGTAAGAGAAATTGAGTAGGTTCCTCAAGAGCTTGCCAGTTCAGATTAATTTTGAGTAAATATGCCAGAATAGTCTTCAGTCAAGAGTTATATCCACAAGTGTGAGCGCTGTTTGGCTTGGGTGAGGGGGAGGGGTGGGGGATTATGCACTTTCGCTAGTTCTTACTGCTGGTTTAGAAAACTAACAGGTGGCAATCGGCTGTGGTCGAAGAGAACCAGCAAACTGCCCCTCGAGCTGAACTATGCCGGAAATTGGATCAGCAAGAAATTAGCACTGCTGGGGAATTGACAGTTCTCCGCTCGTAGCTGCTCTTGTCAGATATGCTTTGAAGTAATTCCTTGGAAGCGGGATTCATGGCGCATCTTGGAACTCCCTTTTTGCTGTTCTTTATCTAGGCAGCTGTTACCAATTAGGAATCTGATCGATTTGAAATTTTAATCTAATCTAATGTTTACTGCTTACTCACTTGGTTAACTAAGTTGGATCATTCTGAACAGAGTTGCATTCAATGCGAATATGGTTTGCAGGCTCTCAATGGTATGTGCCGTCACAATTCCCACAAATCGAAACGCCTGGCGGAACGAGACTTCATGCAGTTGCGCCAGGTACCAGTCAGGAGAATCTGGCAACAAGTTAGTTTTACTACTGTTATTTACTATGCATAAGATTGACGATGGCTACGTCGCGTTACTGTGAACATTAGAAGGGAACTAATTCGCTACGGTAGCGCGACTTAAAAGTATTGTCCATGATGGTAGCGTAGGCCGAGTCAGATGAACCTCTGTGGTTTCCTGATGAGTGCACTTTTCCTATAAAGACGATAAAGAAGAGGTCAGCATCAGAGGAGGATTTGCAGTGGTCCATCTTAATTTGCTCTTACGCTGTTACGATCAGCTTAGAAAATTTGCTCATACGATCAGCTTAGAACGTATTTTCAGTTACCTTCATCACCTTTTATGCAGTGAACTCTTGTGATTGGACCATAAGCTGACTTCATATTAGAATCGAGAATATGCTGTAGCATTGCACATAATAGTTCATCCAGGGCATGTCCTGTGGAGAAACTCTGCAAATTACGACCCCCACCCCTCAAAATTTCCACTTTTAGTACGATCCTCCTCACATTCCCCCATTCCCATTACCTGCCATCTTCCTAGTTTTTCCACAACTCTTCTTACCACTTTGCAGTTTTTTTTTCAAGTTTTTCCTTCCTTTTTCCCAAAAAACACGTCCAAGCCGGGGGTGGGGGGAGAAGGTGTACACTCCTCATCATTGCGGACTGTCGGGGCGGCTGAGCCGCACTGCACTGTGACGCGACAGCGGCTACAGCTCGATGAAGGCGAATCAGCTGATTTCCATGGAATTCGGCTGCGAATTCCCACTTTTTCAGCTCTTCAAGCTTCGAAAGTGGAAGGTGAGTTATTTTGAACAATTTTAAATTGTACTGACTCTGAATGAATCTGAAAGAATGCAAGCCATTTGAATAAATGCCTGAAATAAGGCAAAATACAAGGAAAAGAGCATAATAATAGACATAAAAATAAAGGAAATTAGAGCCAGTACAATTTAAAATTGTTCAAAATAACTCACCTTCCACTTTCAAAGCTTGAAGAGCTGAAAAAGTGGGAATTTGCAGCCGAATTCCATCGAAATCAGCTGATTCGCCGTCACCGAGCCGCAGCCGCTGTCGCGTCACAGTGCAGCGCGGCTCAGCCGCCCCGACAGTCCGCAATGATGAGGACTGTACATCATAGCGTCAGCAAAGTGGGGGTATGTGACAAGAGAATCGTAATTCGCCGCGCTGGTGGGCGTCGCGTGCGACGTCGCGCCCGCAAATGACGATGGTTCCAGGTAGTAGATGGCGACAACAGGCAATTCAGAACCGAAAATAGTCATGAATGTCTACGATGACGGGGTCTACATGAAGTCCGGTGCTCCAGTCGACAGGTTAACACGAGTTAAGAAAACGCCGCGCCATCGCCGCGCGCGGCGGAGCGGCAAATTACGATTCTCTTGCCCGTCATCCGTAAAATGGGATAAACCAGGTACAGTCAACAGCCACAAATAAAAATTTCTCGAAATCAAATACGACGCAGGGTCGCGCGTCCTATCCTGCCTTTCTCCTTGGTGGGCTCCTCCTTTCTGTGAAGAAAAGAAGTTCACTTCAATGAGGAAAGCTGAGAGGTACGCCCAACTCCGTCCACGCTTTCCTCGACATACTAATCACAATATATTTATTTACTGGGGAGGCCTGCCGGACATGCCCCACCCAAATGCTGCAGTAGTTGGTCCCAGAGCGAAGATAGTGTGATTATTGGATGGCCACTATCACTTGGATTCAGTGTCCTGGCCTCGAGCCATGAACGGCACAGGTTCATTTCTGCCGTGAACTCGACAATTGGGGTTATTTCCTCCTATGAATGCATTTAACCGAATAAGCAGACTAATGAAAATCATGCCAAACTGCTGATCGGAAATTTCTTTCAGGCTGGCCTTCTCTCAACATCAACACCAACTCTCCCCTACCCGAACAGCGTCATTTGCGGCAAGAACGCTCACCGCAGCCGACACGTCAGGAGCCTTCTCCACTGCCCAGACGGTTACCAGAACCTTCTCCGCCACTTCGAAGGGCTCCCTCCCCGCCACTACGACGGGCTCCGTCTCCGCCATCGTCGCCGGTCTTCTCATTCAATGGACGGGATTCCCCGCCGGATGAGTTCATTCAACCTACAAAAGTCACTCTTCACGGTTGGAAGTTGGAACTGTCGACGAGCTGGAGGAAGTGGAGAGGTTACTGCGTTCGCGAAGGGTGATCGTTCACCGGCATATGGATCGTAGCTGAAAACACAAGCATCAATAAGGGTAATCAATCAATCGATAAGCGGAGCATAAAA